ACTATGCTTGTCAACCTTTGGCTTAAAGTTTCTAGTAGCCTCATAAAATTAGTTGTGTTTTCTCCCATTTCTGTTTTCATGAAACAGTTTATATACTAAAGCAGCTACCTTCACCTTAAATATTTGATAAAAAAAAAATACTATGAATATCTGAATCAAACACTTGTTGTAAGATTTGACTAATAATTCAATTTGGTATAGAGTCCCTGGTTTAAATTTTCTTCCTTAAATGAAAATTATCTGTTGAATCCAAGTTATCACATTTATTGTTAATAAAATAGTTTATGATATTCACTTATGGCTTTGAAAGTCTCTACTATATCTGTAATTTTACCCCCTTTTCAAATCTTTAAAAATAAACAAGAATTATAGAAGGAATCTCAAAAGAACTAATAAGTAGGTGTTTATTTGAAAAAACTATAATAATGCTGGGAAAAATAAGAAGGCAGTGGGAAAAGGGGGAGACCAAATATGAGATGGATGGACTCCACACAAGAGCCATAGGCTGAGTTTACAGGAGCTCGACAGGACATGGTGGACCTCACTCATTCATGGGGTCACCAGGGGTCAGAGCCGACTCAACAGCATGTAACACATGATAAAATAGACATGCCTCTCATTCAGAACATAAATGAGAAAACACAATCAATATTAAATGCTATTTAATGTCTGTGAAAGGATTTCAATCTAAAATGGAACTCGAGAATGTGAAATGGAAACTCTTATGTGTGTGCCCTCAGAACTTAAGAACTGAGAGACTGATTTCTGGTAAATGTCTGACACTTATCTTCTACCCATGAAAATCCACAAAGAATCTCTCCCATCCTCGAGTCAGTTAACTGACTGCTTGCACGTTGGCTGGACTTCTCCTTCTTTGTACTTCTTACCCATAAATACAGCCCACCCCAGACCTTCAGTGGACCTGCCTAGAGCTTGTTACAGCATGTGTTTCATGAATTACAGTCTTCTGCTATACCCCAAAAACTCAATTTCTGGTCAATTGAGCTTGCCTCAATTTACCTCTTTAATTAGGTTGACAGTTCCCTTCCAATTTTAAAATTCCTGATTCTATGACTGTGGAATATCAAGTCCCTACCAGGTTACTTTGCCTGTCCACCTATAGCAGTGGTTCTCAACCTGTGGGTCGCGACCCCTTTGCGGTTGAAAGACCCTTTCACAGGGGTCGCCTAAGACCATCCTGCATATCAGATATTTACATTACGATTCGTAACAGTAGCAACATTACAGTTATGAAGTAGCAACAAAAATAATTTTATGGTTGGGTCACAACATGAGGAACTATATTTAAAGGGCCAGAAGGTTGAGAACCACTGACCTATATAGCCTCTTTGTCATTCCACATGGTCACTCACCTCATCACAGCATGGCCGGGGATGGAGGCATGTCTCCATCCCCTATTTACTTGATTTGTTCACTAGCTTGTCCAGTTAGAGAAGAAAAAACAGCTGATTTGATTCATTGTGATGTACCGTGGCTCCCATAAGGCAGCTCTGTAATTCACTCTTACTCAATATCTACAGTGTCACAGGGACTATGCAAGATGATAGAGAGATTTGGAGATGGAAACAGATACAAATCCTACCCTCAAAATGGTATCATACTGGGAAGGCATACATTAAAGAAGTAACTACACAAACAATTGCAGTGATGAAAAGTACTATGAAAGAGAGGTATGGGGTGACATAACAAGGGACTAACAGAGTCTGGAATGATAAGGAGTAAATGTTGTAGCTGAAGACGAAAAGTAGGCCAGGGAAGTCAAGAAATGGTATGTGGAGTAAGTAGCTCAGTGTGTTCAAGAAACCAAATAAGTCAGCTGTTCTGAACCTGGAGAACAATAGAAAGAGGTAGAAACTTTTAAGTACTGAGGACTTTACCTAAGTGCAATGGGAAGCCAGCCACTGGATGGTTTGTAACACTACCTTTGGTTAAGCACCAGAAAGCCTACTGTGGGGCGTGGCCAGAGTGTTTTGGACAGGTTCAAGCCTTGGACTACTGAGAGGGCACAGTCCTCTCATTGCCACGTGCAAGTCCCAGCTTGGAGGGCAGAGCCTTCCCAGCACAATTATAGCCAACAGCTATAGTTGTAAGCTTGAGCCTATGGTCCGAACACGTGGCCACACGTGCCTGAGTGATAGAGTTCAGGTGCATGTAGTTGAGTAGGGTTGAAACCCACGAGAATGTTGTAAACATCTTGATCATGCCCCTACTTTGCCTCATGGCATCTGCTATAAAATAAAGACACGGCTTGTGGGCGCTGGCGTTGTCCATCAGAGGGGCAGCATCCCACTGAGACCCAGCTTTCATTCTCATGTCTGTCTTTTCTAAGCCTTTCACCACCCTCACTCAGGGTCACTGAACCAGGCTGAGCTGGCATGGCACATAAGGCGCCCTGGGGCTGAGTATGCCATGGCCGTGCTGGCTCCTCACACCTACATTTCAGTAACCATAGATCTGTAGTTATCTTCTTTATTTTCAAAATAAAATTGTATTGTCCCCTTCAAAAAAGCAAGAGTCACTAGTAGAGTAGGTACCCCACATCTGACACATATTAATTAGTATAGTGATTGATTCTTTTAGTTAGATCATTACTTTAAACTTGTTATAATCTGTTAGCTTGAACTAGGTTTGCAATACAATAGCCTGGGGTTTTCTCCTTGGTTTTTAAAACTGTAATATATATTTTTAATGTTTTGGGGGTATATATTCTGGCTGTGTGCTGACTACTGTCCATGGGTTGGGGCGCAGATGCTCCCATTTCTTTCATCTTGTCTCATGTCAGAGCTCAACAAATGTGGTACCTCAGTTTGACTAGTTGAAGAGTAGATTTCATGCTAATCTTGGCAATCCCAGCCTTTTAACTGATCTTTCTAAATTTCTTTATAAAGTGGGAAAAGGGTGTTGTCAAAGGAAAAGCAATTGTGTAATCATCAAATTCCCATCATCTCCAGTGGCTACATTAACCTGTGGATTCTTATCACAGCATCTTGACTTTAGGAGAGAAAACATGGATTTTTTCAGGAGCTCTGTTATTTTGTCAGGAGCAGCTAAATGGTAGTTTATTATGTTCATTGGAATGTATATTCTAAACTGATGCATTTGTTAGACAACTTTATTGCTATTTCAAGTTGAATAATCATTTATGGTTGAGTATTTGGTTTTTCAGAGGTTTTGCCAACTTAAAAATTTTATACATTTTCTGATCAGTGATTCAACAAACTGTTTATAATGATACTAGAGGCCTGGTGCACGGGATTCATGCACTGGTCGGGGGCGTGGCCTGCAGGGATCATCCTGGACTGCCAAGCGGCTGTGGACCTGCCCTCTGAGCGGCTGCTCCCTGGTTTGGCATCTTCCGTGGAACTGGAGCACTCGCCTCTCCAGGGGACCCGGTCAGGGCCAGGCCCAGGGACAATAGCACTGAGGGGCAGCGGAGTAGGCCTCAGTCCTGTGGCGGCCACGAACCCACCTCCCAGCCTCCGGGGTCAGCTCTGTGAGCCTGGTGGCAGCGGCGCTGCGTGGCCTGCAGGCATCTGGAGGAGGCAGCAGGAAGCAAGGAGGAGGAGCCTGGGGTGAGGAGGCAACGATCAGCGCTCCCACTGTGGTAGCTCACTGACCACCAGGGGGCAGCTCCTGCGTTGAGCATCTGCCCCCTGGTGGTCAATGCACATAATAATAACTGGTTGACCGGTCGTTCTGGTCATTCCGCCTTCAGTCGCTGGGCTTTTATTATATAGGATCAGGCTTGGTATAAATCAATTTGTAAATTTGTCCTTCTAACAAATTTATAGTTTTATCAGATTTCCTTAGGACTTCATAATTATGTAATGAAACATTCAATAAAACATTTTTATAACTTATAGACCTAAAGTATATATATGCCATGTAAACAAATGCAGTAATTTCTAAAAGTATTTAATTTTAAATGTCTCTCTCTCTCTCTCTCTCTCTCTCTCTCTATATATATATATATATATATATATATATATATATATATAAGTATATAAAACCCTAAGTGACTGGTCGACCGTTTGACCAGTAGCTATGATGTGCACTGACCACCAGGGGGCAGATGCTCAACACAGGAGCTGTCACCTGGTGGTCAGTGTGCTCCCACAGCAGGAGCACCGCTCAGCTGACCGACAGGCACCAGATGATGGGCTCACGGCTGGTGAGCGCAGCTGTGACGGTGCTACTGAGCGGCTGCGACGGCAGGCGCAGACTCTTCCCTGGCCGCCTGCCACTTTGCACACTACTACGTCCCTCGGGGGATGTCAGACTGTCGGTCTCCAAAATGGGCAGTCTGACATCCCCTGAGGGGCCCCGGATTGCGAGAGGGTGCAGGCCAGCTGAGGGACCCCTCTAGTCCAATATAATGATGAACTAATGAACCCTAATAAACTGGAAAAAGTGGGGGAAATGAAGGAAATGGCTACATTGTGTTTATTACATCCTTAGAGGCATAATTTGTAAAATAACTCCCTAAATAACTACTTATAAGTTCATTTCTTTATTTTAATAATTAGAAATATTAACAAAAATGATATTACTACTTGAAATACCAATTTTGACAAGCCCTTACTTCCCATTAAAATGGCTTCCTGAAAGTGTCACAAGAAGTTAATGAATCACTTGTTAATTAAATTTGAACTTTTCTTCTCTGATATTCAAATGGAAAAAAACTGAAATATAATAAATTCAAAATGCTTCATACTAAATTGAACACTGATAGTGACATAAATGTTATAAATGGTGATGTTACACATGAATGTGATAAGAATCTATAGGATTCACAATGGAATTTGCTAATTTTGAATATGGGCTTATCTTTTAAGTTTATTTTGTTCCTGAAAATTCAAGTGCTGAAATAATGTTTTATGAGCATTTTTTAATTAGCCATGTGTAACTTTCCATGAAAAATTTAAACATTCTCATCCAACTAACAACTCAATCTATCTTTTCTTCTCTTATTTTGTTAGCCTCTTAGCAAATATCCTGCTGTGATAAATGACATTTCATTCTGGTTGCCCTCGGAGAATTACACAGAAAATGATTTCTATGACTTAGTACGAACAATTGGAGGAGATTTGGTGGAAAAAGTTGATCTTATAGACAAGTTTGAACATCCAAAGTAAGTAAAAAACTTCCTGATTTTATCCTTTGTTCTCTCTATGTGACAAGTGGCATGTGGAAAGATATAATAACATTTTGCTGAAATCCAGTGCATGCTAGACAAAATATCTTCTGAATTTATAGTGAACGCATGGCTTCTCAGAAAAGCCTTTCATATCAGTCCTTCCTGAAAATCTTTCTGAAATGCATTTTTAATCTTTCCTGCCCTGGTTAAAGCAAGTATATGAAACCGGATGTTTTAAAGATCTTGGAGTTTTTCAGTATTGCTTTTGGAAGTGATTCTGTAGTATATCACATCCCAGGAACAGAGGATAAGGCCCAAAGAAGAGTTTGTGGAGAAAAAGTGTTTTGTTAATCTCTAGGTGAATATTTATTAACCATATACCTCAAGCCAAAATCTGTATCAGGTCGTAAGATAAAATGTAATAACTTTATCAGGACTTATTTTGGTGTTGACCCGTCCTCCTTGATATGTATATATTTGTCCCTCACTAATCGAGTTTAACTCTGCTTTGGTCTTAGAACTGTTTTTCCTGAATTCTCTCTCAGGGTTTGTATTGATCCATTGGTCTGTTCTTGAGGGACTCCAGTGGTGCCTGAGGAGGCTGTCCTAAGTCTGACTTCTCTACCTTTCATTTTCTCTCTAATGTATTAGAACTCTGTGTTTTCAATGTTTTCCACTTCATTTTGAATGCTTTCCTCCTTGTGTCTTCTCTGCTCCTTACTGTGTTTCCTTGCACACATTGTATTTCCATCTGCAGTTACTCTGCTTTCCCCCTTTTCTGAGTTCTGCAAGCTCATATTTCAGTTTCTGTTTTCTTACTATCTTTTCTCTGAGTTATTTCTGCTTTGTGATTTTCCTTCATAGAGAAATTGCTTCATTTGGTTTTAAAATTCATTGTAATATATTTGGCTAGAAACTTCATTTGATTTGTTGGCAGCATTTTTCTATGACTTCCCTGTCATTCTCCTTATTCTTTTAACTGTTTTAATTGCTGTGTCAGTTGTATGCCTATGATTGCCTTTTTGTCACACATATTTGACTATATTGGATTTTCTGAACCAGCTACTGACACAAGCCTGTGGGTTGAGGTTCAAGAGTTGACTCTGCAGGGAAGGGCTTGTAGTCATTCAGGCTACATGTCTTCACAACCATAGGCTTTCTTTGTCTCCACCTCCATGAAACCAACTCTTTCTTTAAATATGGCTCATCCATCTCTGAGTCTTTTAGTAGGTCTGCCTCCCACCCCAAGTCTACCCTAGTTACAAACAGAAGATCCACCTTTGCTAACTCCAGTTTCAATACTTATTGGTGATATAGACTTTGCACTTCAGATTATAACCCTTAGCGCTGAGAAATGTATTTTTGCTGGTGTTCGGGAATATGTGTTCAGAGACATGGCACTCTGTGTGCTCCTGCTCTTTGCTTCCTCCCATTTAGCTTCTACTTGATTCTGGCTATTTTTGGCAGCCTTTAAATATATTTTGGAGCTTGCAGATGATATCTGTCTCCTAACTGTACAGACAATAGAATGGACGTACAGGATAGCCTGGGCCCCTGACATGATAGATACCATTCAGCCCTGTATTTTTATGTGAGAAAGAAGTTTCCATGAGTTAACATGTTGATATCGAAAGTCTGGATATTACATTTGAAGAGGAGCAAATATATGGGAATAAGACTTACTGCAAAGTATCAACTGATATGCCAAAAGCACATGACTCATCATTGTTTTCCATTCTTATTTAATACACAGATAACTTCTGGAACAAGGATTCAGAATTCATTCTTAATTTCTTACTTCTCAGGCTCTTACTTCCTGATACTGACTTAGATCCACCTCTACCTCCTATATCACCAGTGTGAAAAGTGAGATAAGTAGCTTTTCTTGGTTGGAGATGAACAGAACCTAAAGGTCACTGTGAGATGTTATTGCCGGGATGTAGTGATGAGGGTAAATGGAACGGGCATGTTAATTGGAGAGAATGCTGGGGGCATGGGGAAGTATCAGGGTCCTGTGGACTCAGGAACAGACCAGGCAGACAGTCCATTAAAGACAAAGTCACAGGCTGTGTAGGAGTACTGTATAACTCAGGTCTGCACACAACCCGTGCTCACTGGTTGTGCTAAAGGAGAGTTTGTCCCCTTCCTTCTGGAGGAGACAATACTTTTGATTGGAAATTTGAAAACAAACAACCAGCCAGAAAATGCTTCTGTCACTGATCTTCAATAAATGTTAAGCAACATTTAAGTCCTATCATTTTGGAGCTATGCCAAATGATCACCCTGCCCCGAGAGCCTACCTATCTTTTCCTTTGTTTGTTGTTGTTGTTGTTGTTGTTGTTGCTGTTGTTAATCCTCAGATGAGGATATTTTTCTATTGATTTTTAGGGAGAGTGGAAGAGAGAGAGAAAGACAGAAAAATCAAGAAAAAAATCTTGATCTTTTTTTAACCGAAGCAGTTTGTCAGCCAACGAAAAGTCTATACTAGGTGTATCAGTTGAGCCAGTAGTTCATATGACATGTTTAGTGGTATTTCCAGAGGCCTCCTTAAAAGTTGGGCTGAAGCTGTCCTTTTTCCTCTTGCTACCTGGATGTGAATATAGTGGCTGGTACTTTGGCGACCATTCTGGATCACAGTGTGTCCTTGGTAGTGGAAGTTGTGGGGAGTACAGCCTGGATCTCATGACACTGGAGTGTCAGTTCAGCCTTGGACTTTATATGAGAGAGAGTATCTTGTTTAAGCTACTATTTTTCAAATCTTCATTCCTGACAACCAAAGTAAGGACAAACAAACCTTGCTCTTATAGCACTGAGGAAAAGCACATTATTTAGTCATGGTGGCTCCTTGTGCAATGATTCTCAGGAAGTACCTAGGGCAGGAGGTGACAAACTTTTTCTATTAAAGGACAGATAGTAAATATTTTTTACTTCATGGGCCATATGATCTCTGTCACATCTACTCAACTCTGCCCTTTTGAAAGCAGCCATAGAGAAAACAAAATCAAATTGTCATGGCTGTGTTCTAATAAAGCCTTAATTACAAAAACAGGTGGTCAGCAAGTTTTGGCTCATAGTTTGCTGACCCCTGATAAAGGGGAGGGAGACACATGTAATTTTTCTGAAGATTGCCCCCAACAGATTCTGAAATCCTCCCAAAGGAGGTCATTCTTCCCTGAGCACCTGGCACCCTCCTGGTCTCCTCCCACTTGGGCAGTGGCAAGTGAAGGTCACCTGACCTTGTACTCATCAATGCATAGCTTGATCTCAAGATTTATTTCATTTATTATCTAAACACGTCAATGAAATGTTACCAGATAGTCCAAGAGCTCTCACTCTTTCTTGACCTAACATCCCAACTGAGAATTGCTAGTGCTGAGGGAAAGGCACTCTGAAATAAACAGGTGTTATTGTTTGGCCAAGAACAGGTCCCAGGATGTTTCAGAGAGACATCAGCTGCTGAATCTGAACCTAATTTTATAATGTTAAACAAATGGGCAATTTTTTCTTGATTACAAATAACAGTTGGTGCCCAAAAGGAGGATAGCTGTTCACGTTAGAAGCAGCTGACATTTTGTTCCAGTTTGTCATTCAGAATCTTCTCCCAGAGTACATTTGCCACTTAATCTATAGGCCACTTAGTGTGCACAAGAGTTTTTGTAGTTCCAAATTTCATGTCACAAAAAGCAGAGCAGGGATTAGTTAGCTCAGGAGAGGAGAGCTGGGGTCACTGTGTGTGCTTTCCTACCTTTGGAATATTGCACTATATGCACATGCTACTTACTGAGAAAGCGCAACTGCTCAAAGTATTTCTTATGCTGGGGTAGGAGAAGGAGCAAAGAAGAGCAAAAGGAAACTTAACCATTGTCTTCATCTGCCGATACCTCATTGGGAAAGCGAGCCAATACTGCTCTTCTGAATAGTAGAAATGGACCATAAAGTAAAATGGATTTGAGTAGGACAGATTTGGTTTGAGCTTAAGGCAGAGTTTTCTGGAAGTTAGAATTACAGAATTTTAAAAGAAGTATTTGATTTAATCCCAAGAAAGGGGTGGTAGTGAAAAGTATCCCAGGTGTCTGCAGCAGGGGCTGGCTGGAGATGTCCCCAAAGCATACACTTACACTTTGTTCCTAGGGCTGCTGCTTACTTTGCCCCATGCTGTTCCTACAGTGTGGACACGTTTCCTGAACCCATGCACTGTTAGTCAGGGTCTGGTTAGGGCGGAGATGCTAGAGGTGAGTGTGCTGAACTATGGACTCCCTACTTGATCTTCCTCACAGTTATATTTTATACAATTTGCCAAAAATACAGGTAGACCTCTTTTCATTGTGCTTCACCTTATTGTGCTTTGCTGATACTGCATTTTTAACAACACAGACATAAGATCCTCCACCAGCAAAATGATTATGACTCTCTGAAGGCTCAGATGATGGTTATAGTCTTTTAGCAATGGAGTAGCTTTAATTAGGGTATATTCATTGAGTTTTTAGAAATAATGCTATTGCACACTTAATAGACTACAGCATAGTATAAATATAACTTTTATAGGCATTGGGAAACCAAAAATTTGTGTGACTGGCTTTTTTGCAATACCCACTTTATTGCAGTGGTCTGGAACCCACAATATCTCCGCAATGTGCCTGTAGGTATAGTGGAACATGTGTCTTCATTTTTAACAGAACTTTGAAGCGGGACTTCCCCATGAGGAGCACCTTCTCGGTGTAGCTGGCCCCTCTTTTGAGTGGGTGTGAGTCTTGGATGTTGTCTGGTCCTAACTTCATGGTGTGGTGTGGGTGAGGCAGTTCAGGTGACTCATCCTTCCTTCCTCCCTTCCTCCAATCTTTCCTTCTTTCCTTTTTTGGTGTATTTATGTGTTTTTGCTTTGTCAAGCACCCAGTAAAAATGCAAACACATAAAACTTTGAAAATAAAAAGGGTGGAGATTCAGCCATCATCTCAACACTCTAAGACAACTCTTAACATTTTTACATTTTCCCA